TCTTATACTAACCCCCATCTAAACTAGATTATAATGTCTCATGCAGAGTGCTTTAAAGGCCTTGCTGAAATAGGAATAGGTTTGATCTGCTGCATTTCCTTGCCCACAGAATAAATTATCTTATCAAAAAAGATATCAGGTAACTCTGGTAGTAAGCATTTTTGGGAAACTGTGTTGCATTTTAACTCAAAACATTTGGCCATCAATTATTCTGGCCTGGCCTCTATTTCTGTTTCCTTCCCCCGGCCTCCTCCCCTCTATGGTTCAGACTGACTTTAAAATATCCCAAAACTAGTGGACACATGTACAAAACCTTGAGTAACAGATGCTGCTTATAATGAAATACCTTCCACCATACCTACTAGAGCACGGTCATTCATTTTTCTCCGTTAAAGGAATATTCGGACTGACAAGCAGTGCTGTAATTTGATTAGGTACCAAGGAAACCAGTTCACAAAATGGGCATTTTGGCATTTCTAACTGGTCTTAGATACCTATCTAAAACTCTGCTTTGACAACTTTCTGACAAACTTTAAAAAAATAGTTGTTGGTTTTTTTTCTGTTTGTTTTATGCTCCTCAACTTCCAGACAATCCAACTAAAACAGAGAGAGAGTGTGCCAGCTCCTGCCTGCCCACGGCGTGCGAGGAGAGATGTGAACATAGATGCAGGAAAATTAATCCCAGCAGTGAACACGCATTTGTTTCCCAAGTCGAAAGGAATTCATAGCTTCCAATGAATGAATGAAAGTAAATAATACGAAAAAATAATCCTCCTGGCAAAAAGAAATAATTTTATGACACAAATAGCTGGAATTGTAAGGAGGAAATGAAAACTCCCATTTTAAGTCTTAAAACCAAAATTGCTTCTGTTGTCTTTGATCTGATTTAAGTTGTACTAAAGGCCAACGCACGTTGGAACAAATATTGCTAAATACTGTACTCAGCGGATAAAAAGAAACATGAAAGTTTGGCCTTATTGTACATAACACATCACACAGTGATCTCACCAAAGTTACCAGCTGGGGACTTGCAAACCACATTTACCAAATAAGGGAAAATGCTTCGTGCCTGAAATCCTTTCCCAGTTACCTCACCCGGCTTTTGCTCGCGTTTCCACAATAATTGCAGGGGTCATTTTTTTCAACTCAGATGGAGTAAATCAACAGGCTATCCAGTGCAAAGCTGGGTTTGTGTAGTCTCTGGAGAGAGCTCAGCTTTATTTAAACTGAGTGTGTACAGAAAAGGAAGAACTGAAATATGTGCAATAAAAACAGAGGAGCGAGTAGTATAAATCGAGACGAGCAAGTGATGTGGATTTGTGTATTGCCGGTTTGATTACAAAACACTAATGTTTTATGGGGAATGTTTCTCAAATTTGATGGGTACCTTCAGGTTTTTGAAGTGCATGTGAAGAATTGGTCTTTTATGTTATTCTTGTGACATTCCAAAAACACTTGAACTTTGCACTTTGGGTTTATGCTGTCCTTGTATTTGAAATATAGCTTATATAGCTTTGTAACATCAACAGGATATATTTCATCCTCCGTGTTCCCTTTGATTTCTGTGACCATATTTTTTTGCGTAATTGATATAATTTTGAAGAAAAACTAATACATACTCATTCTCCATTTTAAACACAACGATGGGACAGTCCTACATAGTTCCTTGTGGTAGTAAAAACCTTGTGAGGTTACTTATTATTAAAATAAAATGGTGATTGTCATAGTGAAACCTGTCATTAATTTACAACATTTTCTCTATTTTTTTTTCCTCTGTGTGTGTGGTGGGGCGGTGTGGAGGACTGCTTGTTTTTATGTCCAGATGAATTTTATCTGGTGCTTTCTAAAAGAAAGAAAAGAGCCCAGTAACCACTTTTAAGTGCACCTTCTAATAATCTTCTCCTCACCAAAATCTGACAGTAGTGCCTCATGTAATTTCCTATTATGTATATTGGTAACACAAATATAGAGTAATATTTTTTTCCTCCAAAAAATTTGGAAATACAGCTTAACAGGTACTAAAAATTAATAATTTCAAAGTCCAATTAGAAGAGAAAGAATCCAGCACTCACCACTGCTTCTAAAATCACAAAGCTTCTAATGATCACAAAGCCCAGCTGCCTGCATCTCTAGCTACTGCTGGAATTGCCAATGCAAAAGGCATGACAACTAACCTCCTGCTTCTATAGCTAATCTCTTAAAATGTCAATCTGTAAGATGTTATGATGGCAATTAATTGTAAAGTCACAGCTCTAGAGGTATATAATATGACATAAGTATCAGGTATTCTGTGGAGTCTGCATCATCTCAGCCTCTGTTTAGAGAGGAACACATACACAGAAATGTTTTGGGGTTTGGGGGGAAGAGGGATGACACAAACAGGAGCAGGTTTGAGTCTGATGTGAATACAATTCTACACACTGTTGTTAGTTAATACTAGGGGAGAAATCAGCTTAAACCTAGTATTTCAGAGCAAAAAAGTAACAGCTGATACATAGTCCATAAAGCTGACATGTTTGGAGAAGACCTCAAATAAAAAGTGATGTTCTCAGTGTCCTGTGAAACTTTCTGCTGAAATCCAGGCAACAAGAAAGCATCTATGTTTTCTGTTTGGCTATCAGTTCAGATGACCCCAGAGGAATTCAAAGAGCCAAATCTCTGTTCCAACCTTCATTAACTGCAGATAAAAAAATAGCAAGTTCAACTCATCCCATATTTATAAGAGTTCATAAATGCTCCATGGTTGAGCCCGGTGAACAGAAGTGGAGGTAAGCAATCTGACCATGTTTCTCTACTTTACTAACAAGGAGTTTTGGAAAGTCCAAATTTCTACTTTACTTCATATTGGTCTCATTATTCCTAGATCACACATTTCTATTTTGCAATTACTAGAAAAACAGTATTAAATGTAATTAATCTCTCACTTCTTTGTGTTGATTCCATTTAATTAAAGGCCAATTGTAATTGCTTCCGCTGATAAAAATCAGTTCAGAGGCAAATGTTTGTATTGCAATCTGGGTTATGCAGGCGGTCTGAATCTCTCATTTTTGAGCTTGAGAGCTTGAGTTGAACTCCATGAGCACTGCAAGAAAAGACGAGTTTATTTAACGTTCTATAAAACAATGAGCTGGGAGAGCTCTCTGTATGGCATCCATGTGTCAAGCCTGTACTGCCCAAAACACACATAGTGCTATGTAATAAAGTGCATTAGGCACCGGAATGAGTTACCTGAGCCAGGCTCTCTCCTGAACTCATTCAGTAAACTGTTGTGTGACCACAGACAAGTTAAGCTGATCAATTTTTCCATAAACTATATAAGATGGGAAAATGCCTATATTTTATCTGGAAGGGATATGGAAAAGAAACCAGCCATTACAATATACCAAACAGAGAGGACTCAACCTGTCCTGTAGTCCCCTGCCTTTAATGTTAAATACTTGCTGATTCGAAAAACAGAGGAGTCATCTTCAATTAGATCATTAAATACGTGTTGCCATCTACTGACTTATATATTTAAAGGAGACGTGAATGTCTTATACAATTCTGCAGACAGCCCTATGAACCTCTGGATCGTGTCTCTGATGCACCAGGACAGCCAATAGTATGGCAGGCCAGGCTATCAAAAAGGGCTCTCTGCACAGAAGAATGATATCCCTTAAGCTACAGGAACATGAAATGAAACATTAACACAAAGAACTGAACAACATAACTAAAACTCATTGACAACTAAAAATAATTTTGTGCTGGGATTAAATTCTGATTTGTGCAACATGGTAAATAAACTCCCAGCCCTGCATCTCACAGCAGCATAGGGGTGGGACAAGAGAAGAATGCAGCTGTAAACAAAAACATATCAAGTAAGAGGGTAACGAACATCCATTTCAGAGAAATATGACCTCAAGTTCACAGTAAAAATTCTTCTCAAACATTTACTTAGTTCCTGTGCGGAAGCAGCCTCATCTGCTGCACATTCACAACAACAGTACAAAAGTATAAACCTTCGGTCTCTTTCCAATAGCTCTGTTCTTCTTTGGAGGTTGTTTGAGCACAGCACAAGCGCAACCTCAGCTACAACATCAAAGAGATTTTTTATTTTTTTTTTCCATACCCACTTAACCTTACAAATGGAAAATTTCCCAGAAAATTTTATGAGTGCTAATATGAGATGCAAAATGCTTCAGAACTGGCATATTTGTGTAGACAGAAGGAACTGTTACTAACCATACCTCTAATTGGCTACCGCAGCCTTTATGTATCTCTCTGGGACCGTGATCAAAGCAGCCACTGATAACCACTTAAGACTCAAGGATCAGACTGAAAATAGCTCTTCTACACTAACAGTTCATTCCGACATCTTTTTTCCTGATATATCTGATTTCCTGGGTTGACTACTGAACCCTGGTATAGACAATTTGCAATGTTTCTCTAACACAGATGTAACACTTAACACCGAAGAACTCGCTTAAAATCACCAACTGGAGCACTTCCACCATGGGAAAATCTCTGGGCACTGTGAAGATGAATACTCTGGCAAAATGAATATGAATCACTGCACTGCAGCAGTCCGGTAAAGTGGAGAGGGAAAGCAGAGATGGAGAGTACGCCTAAAGTGCACTAACTTCTTTTGGTCTCTATACAATGGCCACTTGAGGGTCACTGCACCCACAGCAGCTGTTTGAACCCTCTGTGAGGTTCTGGGTTAACCCAAGATGCAACATAACATAAATGCAGACATTAGAAGATGAACACAATTCCAGATGGTAAAAATGTGCAACTGTAGGAAAAGCTGCAGCCTATGCATGTAAGAGTCTTTAAACCCAATTTCTAAATCATCTCCTTCGCTGAAGCAAAGAATTCAGTATAATTTACTAACATATTTAATGAGGATGGCATCAAGTATGTTTGAATACAAAATGCCTGTTTTCAGTCCAGCCTTCAAAACACACTGATAAACTCAAATAAACATGAAATGAAAAAGAACTGTTTCCACAGCCACTTACTTTTGCTGCTCCTATTTGCTCTTTACGAAACTTCTCCAGCGGTGCTATTAGCACATCATTAGCATTCTGGATCTGCAAAGTTAAAAACAAAGCATATCTTTTTAATACAGAGTATTTGAAGAAAGTGGAGTCATTGTAACTCTGCCAATGTGCAAGACCAAAAAAATTCACGTCCGTAACATTCTGGTAAGAGCATATGGATAGGAGTCAAATAATTATGTTCCCTTTACATAAAACATACAACACACATGTTCAATAGTCTATTATGGAGCATTTCCATGAATAACTACAAGAATTGTAATGAATGTTCTAGTAAGTTTATCTGCAATATATAGAAGGGTTTTCTGGTATTTCACTTCCATTTCTTGCATCTTGCCTAAAACCAGAATAGAAAACGAAAACTTCCAGGAACACTTTTTGGCAGAACAGAGAGGATAAACATAGTAGGACTGACAGCACTGTCTTAAAAAGCCTGTGTTTACAGAATCCAAATCTTTGACAGCTGAATCTTTTCAGCTATCTCTTTGGATTATACACCTAATTATATGGAACAGAGGAAAGTAAGGCAGAGAACTCTAAAAAGAAAAGTGGATGATTTATAAAATACTCTAGATTGGATTCCTTCGCTTTTCTAGGTTTTAAACTAATTTAAGATGTCCTGCAGCTATTTTTATCACTTTAACCTAAACCAGGGTTCCTAATGAATCACAATTCTCCCCGCATGGCCTCTGTTTATTTAGTGTAAATCCAGTCCTGGGAACCCCTCTGTGAAGACCATTCCCAGCAGCGACCACCCAAAGTGGTCCTTAGTCATTTGGGCTGGAAACACACATGCAGCAGAATACAAATACCAGCCATGCCATCATGCCAATCACCAAAAAAGGTAGCATGATTTCATCATGTGCCTTTTAGAGACAGGCAGAATAACCAACTGAATTGATTTTACTGCAGAAAAATAAGAAGAAACCAAAAAATGCCAACGCTTCAGAAATAAAGCATAATAAAACACATCACAATATTCTATTATACTAACTACAGGCCAAATTTTGGGTTTTCTGCATGAATAGCTTTTTTGCTTCGTACCAGTCCAGTCTTTACCATACTCATCACATTCCACATTTGGGCTTTGGCAGGTCTGGAGGTCTGGGCAAAGCTAACATGTACCCAAGCCAAATGTGAATGAATACAGCTCTTGTGACCCTTCCATAATAATAATTGATAAGTTACATTGTCAGTTGAGCAGAAAAACTTCCCAAAAGGCTGTAATGATAAACATATAGAATAAACCCATTGAAACACAAACACATTTTCTCTCCTCCCAAACCTACCATTACAATTTGAAAGACCACAGAATCACCACATCTCTCAGTAGGGCAAAGTTTCAGGAAAAGCTGAGGCTGTCATTGACATCCTAATGCAACAAAGTCCAAGACAGCAAAGGCAGCACTTGGCATGCTCAGTGATGCAGTGATCAAAATGTGCTACATTTAAAAATAAAAATCAGGCACAAAGGACAGGGAGGAGTGTTTTCAATGCATTCTCTGAGCTTTCACTGCATTCAACATCCTCCATCAGCTCGACTGGAACAGAATACAAAGCTACATTATTCTCAAAGTGGACACTTCCCAAAAATATAAATATTTTTAGGCAATATCTCGAAATCTAGCTGACACTCAACACTTTCTATATAGCAAAGTGCATGCTTTGATAATCTCTATTCCAAGGATTGCTAAATAAGGCAGATTAAAATTAACAGGGGTGCAAAACTGTTAAACGACTTGCCTATGGTCAGGCAGAATTGCAGTGCACACATCTGGAAGCAGCAGCTGGAAGTTTTGATAGCTTACAGAGGACGTACATAGCTTTTGGCACACACAGACATCACAAAGGCTTGCTGGAGTCACTGGTACAGAAGTGTGGACGCATCTTTCCTTTCTTTTTCAGGTACAAAAGTAAGTTTTTTCTCTGCCCTTTAGATTTGTTTCTATATACAGCAACAATACATTAAATACCTTGCAGTTGAACTAAAAGAGAGACATTCATATTACTGAAATAGTTACTACTGATACCAGCAATCGTTGATAGCCCTGTTGCTGGTCACTGCCAGTCAAACTAACTCCACACAGTGCTGAACGTGGCTCTTTCCTTCTTCCCTCACTTCATATATTGCCCTCTTGACAGCCTTAAAGCAACTGACACACAACAATTACTGGTCTCACTCAATACTGCTCCAAAGCCAAGGAAATATCTTAGGAAAAAAGAACCCTGCTTCAAACACTGTGTAAGAACATATTCATAGGAAGAGGCTTTGCTGGGCTGAAGCACAAAAGTATTCACTCCCACAGTCGTACACGCAGCTAGGAACGGACAGTGGGTATCACCAGAGCCACATGAACAGGACCTGCTGCAAATTCATCCCTGGGCTGAAAGTTTTACTGATGAGAGCCCTGATGTGGTAATTCACTTCCCAGCAGAATTAGAAGCTAGGCAAGTAAGCAATGGGCTTTGGCTTTGGAGAGGGAGAACACACCAGCAAAGTACCAGAGCAGGTATTACAAGACGCAGAATGCTCTGCCATGAAAAGACTCCTGCTAATTTCCACCAGGTTGTGCCCAGCTTTGGAAACTGAAAATTACAGAGAAAGAAAAATTTTTGCCTTACATATGTATTTATTCATTTCCTCTCATTGCCGATTCCTATTACTGCAATTATTTCACATTACAGTCTCCTTGTTAAGGGTTACAAATTGTCATATCCCCCCTCCAAAGTAAGAATCTAATCCTCCCACAAGCAGTTCTATAGAAAACTAATTGCTTTAGATACTCTGAATTGTTCACTGTGTGGTCCTAATAGAGTAACTTTCTTCCTGCCAAGACAATTCTCTCTCTCCTACTCAGTTACTGGGCTAGGTTGAAATCATAGACAGTTGGAACACTCAAACAAAGTCAAAAACACTGTAACAGTTTCTGTAAATAGCAACTTCAAGAAATCCATATTCTGTTTAAAATACAGATCTCATCCTTATGAGCTTATTCAGATTAGTCACACCTTCAGAGAAGTTATAGTTTCTTGGTCCACTAGTTATTGAATACTACACAGTTCCAGCTCCCCACACGGCTAATCTGAGGCAGTCAATCAAATAACGTGATCGTTTCTTGTTCAGCAAAAGGAATCATGCAGTTTTAACTTGGTGTCAGTTTACCAGTCTTAAGATGATAGTCTTTACCAGTCTTAAGACTTTATCAGTCTTATCATCTTAAGATGCCAGATAAGTATTAGGCAGACTTAATGTATGTTATGTACACATAATATTTCAAACTTAACATTGCAATTATGATTTCAGGTTTTGTGTACCTTGACTTTGCAATTACTTGTGAGGTGTCTTGCTAAATAAAGGCTTCCTGGTACATTTTTCCTCTCAGAACATCTATTTATAGGTGAGTGGATAAACTAGATTTGAAAGCTTTATCTTTCCAAGTATTTGCCATCAGAGTCTGCCCTGGTTTTTTCACTCTCAGAAGTATTTACCATTCCAGATACACTGATTTTCTGAGAGGTGAAGTAAGGAGGGGTTTCATTGGAAGCATCCACATTTGTGGTTGGACTCGATGATCTCAGAGGTCCCTTCCAACCACTAAGATTCTGTGATTCTGTGATTTCAGAGAAGACAGTCCTACAGAAAGAATGGTTTGTCTTTTTATCCCTGTGTCCTCTGATGATGCTGTCGTACTTTAATGCTTGAGTATCAACTCTCCCATCAATGCCTTTTTCTTTTTCCAGGCTATGAAAAATTGACAAAGTTAGAGACAAGTACAGATGCTGTATCCACTCCTGTATTCACTCCTCTCAGGAGGAGATCCCGAACTTTCCCTTCATCTGGGAAGTGATATCCTTTAAGGTTCATCTGAAGACAAACTGGAGGCATACCCAGTTCTTGGAGTGCTGCAGAGACAGAGGCAAGTGCTACTAGAAAGCACACAACCTCATTCAAAGAGAACTAAATTTGATGTTGAAAAGTAGATTGTTGTTGAGACCTTAAGATCCAAGACAGTTTAGGATACTTTTGATGGAATTCTGACAATCCCACGTCCTGACCAACACCAGAAATGTTCGAATCTTTCTAGCACATCTTAAGGTGGGGACTGTAGGAGAGAGTGATCTGAACACTGTCAGAGCTCTCCACTACCACAGTCAGTTTTGTTTCACCTCCGCCCATGCAGAGCTTCTTTGCTGGAGGCACTGGCTCACCATCCCTGCACTCAGCCAGCCTCCATCCTTCCCCTCCACCCACACGGCTCTCCTCCTTCAGGACACTCTGAATTCCACGCAAGCAGGAGACCTCCAACTTTACAGTTTACTCCCCTGGTATATTCAAATCCCACAACAATTAGCCAAGCATTCAATCTGACCTGCTGCCCTTCCTGTGACTGGATGCTTAACCATGGTGACAGTGCAGGAATTTGAAAGGAAAGAGACGAAAAAAAAATTTCCAAAAGGCGCGTGCTGTTGAACCAGACACTGAAGGGCAAGAGAAAATAAAGATTTAAAAGCTATTTGTTAAATCAGAGGTTCAGTTCTGTTAAACCCTTCAGTTCAATCAATCTATTGCAGAAATTTATATTATTGAGCATGTCGCAAGACAGTGCATCTTTCACACACATCAAGATAATGATACCTTAATACAAAGAGACGCCACACATTTTCATAGTTTTTTCACTTCTTTTTGTGAAAAACACTTTTCTCCTCTTGCAGACACAATAAGAAATTTCACAAAATTAATAGCCTTGCAATGTGGTGTTAATTTTAACTCTGCTTTTTCTCCACCAGTCTCCAGCACAGGTAACCTAAAAGGCAAGTCAGGCAGAGTATCACACCAACTGTAACTGAGACTAGTACTAGCAGAAAGAAATGGCATTCCTGAGTTGAGAAGGAAAAGAAACATTTCATCCTTCTTGAAGGCATGATGAGCACCAGGACTGTACTTGTACCATTTTGTGTGCTAATGGAACAAAGAAAAGCCACGGACCTCACTGAAGGAAGCCAATTCAAGGATTACTCCCAGGACTGCACTT